AACTTATTAAACAATAAACACGGCAACAACACGAAATTCTATGGAACTTAATGTTCGTCTTAATGCCAATGACATTAATATTTAACTAACATCGTATCCCTCACGCCATAAAGCTTATGGCATTTGTAGACAATAAGGTACAGTCGTCATTATGTCTCAATCAAACCTCAGTCTACGAAGTTTGCGTATTCATTCGTTTAGTGTTGTGTGCGGGACTACTGAAACTGTAGACTCGAGTGTGTTTGGTAGTTTTTTTTGTGTTTGGTAGTTTTTTTTATGTATGGCAACATTTATGTAGAAAATTTGAATATCAGTAGTACTTTAAATTTTAACGAAAACACAGACAGAGAGTTTTCGATTTTTAAATGTAATGCTAAGTTCATTTCGGTCAACGATATTTTGTGTTACGCAATTCTATACTGTAAAGTATTGACTACAGACTTCTCTTCAGTTCTTTTTACTATGTATTATTTTTTAGTAGCGAAAAAATATATGTAGTTTGTCATTTATAAATATGTATGATGATAAAATAGGTATTGAAAAAAAAACCGAATTCAAAGAAAAATGCAAAGTAAGTGGATATTTTGAATTTTGAACAAAGAAGCAATAATTAGCCTCTTGCATTAAAGTTTCTTTAGTTTTTTTTTGTGATTTTAGAATTAAATTCTTCACAATAGTACTTATTTAACCACAAAGTTTGACTTCACACATCCAGTAGTCGCGTACGGTGTCGCGGACGCGTCGGATGTTGTCGCCTCGTCTGTGAAGTGAGATTATCTGTTGACGAGTGCACCTGAGCGACGCGGGTGCGGATCTGTCAAGTGTCAAGGCACTTTGTGACGTCACTGACGGCCTAACGAACTTGTGTTTTTAACGAATTCGAATTTAGAAAGAAAAAAAGAATACAAGCAGTTCTCGATTTGAATTTTTTTCAATAAAAGGAAAGAGAATTCAATTTTTTTAAGTCGTATCGGTATTCCTGTGATACGTCATTTCGGATCCTCTAGATCAACTCTGGGTGCATTTCAAGCACAGTGTGCTTAGTGCGAGTTTTTTAACGTTCTCGTTAGCGTAAAAGTTAACTCAAATTTGTACGCAATTGGAACAGCGAAAACCATCGATTATGTAGGAAAAACAATCTCTGTTAACATCTTAATTCTTAATTCTCAACTAATCTTAATTTAATATGAGCTTGGATTATAGGTGGAATATCACTCCAGATTCCTCTTCGGTACTCGACTTTTTTTTTATTGCCCTTGGTTCGGTAGGCAGCGGCTCGGCTCTGCCCCTGGCATTGCTGTAGTCCACGTGCGACGGTAACAACTCACCATCAGGTGGGCCGTATGCTCGTCTGGCTACAAGGGCAATAAAAAATAAATTTTAACTATGCCTGTATCTATTTTCTATCTATTGTTATACATAAAAGTTTCGGTTATTCCCATATAGGTATTGTGTGTTCATAGTGCATAATGTAATTTTGTAAGTAATTTTAAATAAAAATCTCGTTATCGTGTTGTAGAAGTACCGAGTTTTCGGCAAATTTCCTTTTCGTGTTAGAGTGGAACCGTGTTGTAAAATATCGTGTTATAGGAGGATTGTCTGTACATCTATATTTATATTAATATGTGAAGCAAAAACTTTGTATCCTTTTTAAGAAAATTGCGCGGACGGAGGAGTATGAAATTTTCCACACTTATAGAGAATATAGAGAAGAAGTGCACAATGCTAATATTTTTTTTTAATAATGCATATAAGATACATTAAATCAATAAAGAAAACATTACACACACTACATACCATGTATTTGACGCACACACTCATGCATACTATTTATTGTCAAACTTTTGTTCTTGACGTCTGTGGTCAAATTGAGAATAGATTCAATATTTTTTGTCTTTATTAATATTTTTTTATAGAGTAGCCTTGGCGAAATTTGTGATTATAGAAGTATAAAATACAATCATAATAGTGTACAAACTTACAATTCCAATTTAATTATAGTCGAATTTCGACTACTGCGGGACCACTAGTATTTATTAAAAGTATCAAAATCTCGTATACGTCGACGAAATTAAAATATACTTTAACTTTGATTTCACTTATTTTCAGTAACAATTCAAAATATTATGGTAATCGGAAGCAATTTTAAGTTGCTTCTAAGTTACCTCCATAGACAATAAAACGAATGTAAATTAATAGCTTCGAGATTAAATTATTAATGCTAAAATTAATAAAATAAATGTATTACATAAAAAGCCTCAAGCACATTAATGCAAAACCGTAAAATATAATTTAAGACGCCGTAAAACATTTGTATTATATTCGTCGTTCGTTTTATTAACTTCAAAGTTATCTGCTGGTCTTTATGTTGTTGTGTTTAAGTCGAAACTTGCTTGATAATTGTGGTTAATAATTTGTGGGTTTATGAAAGGCTCGAGTTCACATTTGAGTATCTGTTTTAATTTTTTTTTTTTAGTCATTAATTAATGATGCAATTTGTTGTATTGTATTTATTTAAAACTACATATTTTACGTTTTGTTTTCAGAAGGTCGCATCGATTGTTTGTTTCGTGGCAAAGACATCCGTATGTCGGCTGCATTAGGGTGGTATTGGTAGAGCAAAGCTTTATTCTATCAATTGTATATTCATTCATTACACGTTCATATCTTAGATATTAGAGCAATTCTTGTATATAAAAATAATAATATTTATATAATCTGAATGTCGGAAACGGCTCTAACGATTTGGTAAATGGATCTAGCTACGATTTATTTTCAGAAAATGTTGTTTTATTCGTGTTTTCAATAATCAACTTTATCGATAATTTCGATTTTTTCTTTAAATAACCAGTTCATATTTTTTTATTACTCTGTCGGTAAGATCGAAAAATATTATTCATAATTCATCCTGTTATCAATATGTAACTCGTATTTAAATATAATTTCTAAAAAACACAATTTATCAAAACAAAAAAACCGAGCAAAGCAAAGGTCATTTCATTATCTAGTTTTATATAATATTCGTGTATGAAAAAAAAAGTTTATTAAAGTGGGAATTTTGTGAATATTTTTCCAAGAATGAAGAAGAAGAAGATTTTAGAAATGGAAAATTAGATTTTGTGTTAAATCAATTACGGTTAAGTTTTCAACAGACGTTGAATTAGCGCACGAAGTCGGTGTTTTTTTCCTCTTATCTTTTCGCCGGTAGTCTAAGGAGCTATACCAGCTACGCCTGGACGCGTAGGTGAGCTCACGGGCTCAACCTGAGAGAATTAGTTAATACAAGCCCTAGCAAGAGCTGTGTTTCACAGTATCTACGACTGAAGCGGAATCGCGATCCACTGAGAAAATTTAGCAAGAAACTCAGCGCACTTTGTCTGTGGTCTTGAAGCGTGTAGCTATCCTATACATGTGATATCGGCAACACAAGATTTATCCTCCGATTAGGAGCTAACGAAACTTAGATATAATTTAAATCACATAATTAAAAAGATTTCTTCATGTACACGCGACAAAAAAGCGTCGACCAAAGAAAATCAAAGCGTTATATTTGGTGGAAAATAACAATCAAATAAATAAGTTACTTCATTTAATTTTTTAATTATTTACCCAACAATTAATCAATTATTACGCGTTCATTTAAAACTTTTTTTAAAAGTTTTTGATTATCTTCAGAAATCTTGTCCTAATCATATTATTTCGCATGCAGCTATGATAAGCCTTCTCACAGCGCTGCTAACCCAACAATTATTGATTTATGAGTATTAATTCTTTTCAATTGTATATTTTGTGTATATTTGAGTAAATACACAAATTATTTTTGATTTTCATTATCTTTTATACAAAAAGTAATTAAGTACTTTAATTTTTTTCTGGTATGTGTTCATTTTATATTACTACTAATTATAATATTACTTACTAAGGGAAGGATTTTTTTACAAACTATATTTACATTATGTCAAATTAAAATGAAACTATCTTTTTTCTTTCATCGAATAATTTACGCGCATATATTGAGTACTCAAAAAATAATTATAATACACGAAAATAATTATAACATATTATGTACGTACGTAAGTCTAAATAAAAATGGGCACGTAACGACCCTAAACTAGGTATAATGAATTAATAAATTAAATAATCTATACTACATATCACATTTCATAAGATAATTGATATTTGAGGCAATAAGTCGCTTTCCCCTCATTGAATTTCTCTTCAAAAATTAAAATATTTTGTAGATTGGAAGCTTCTATATTAAAATCATGTGTTTTCTTGTAAATTCGCCTGTCCAGACATCACTTAAGTTCGGTATTCCTAGAGTATACCAGAATCATGCTTGTATAAAATATTCAAAATAGTAGATGTATTCATGCCTATATGGAAATATCTATGAAGAGAGTGAGTTATTAACCTCATTTATAACAAAACTAATAACGTAACGGTAACTACAATGAGTTTGTAAACTAATTAGATAACGTATTTTATAGCTATAGGTCTTGCGATTTGCAATCGATACCCGATATACGTAAGCGCTTAATCGCCTTAAGGTCTTTGTAATGCCAAGCGACATACCCATCCGCCCGACACCTTAAATCCGAACCAAAACCCCCAATTAAACGCGCGAAGTCAACCCCCCTGGTCTGTCTTCGGCACTTTACAATCCCAAGGCTTAAATGGTGACGACGTACTCGCTTCCGGCACGCGAGGGCTGCTCGTATAATTAGAAGGCAGTCGGGAAGGAGTCGATAGGAAACTGCCGTAAGACAGTGAGGAGTTGACGCCGAGCGATGCGTCCAGTGAGGAATAGTACCCGGACGAGGCCGCGGAGGGTGGAGGCGGCGCTGGCGTCTGCGGTACTCGTGTCGCGTCAGTGTACACGTCTAGGTGCGTGCGTACCAACGTGATAAGCTCCGTGTAGTTGGTCACCGCGACCCCAGCGCCCGCCACCCTGTAAAGCAACAACCGCGCTTCCCCGAAAAGGCTATCCAAAATTTTACCTGTCGTGAAGAGGACGATCGCCTTCAGACAGGAGTACTCCGCGGAGTCCACGTGGAGCGCCTTCAGCTTCTCCACCTGCTCTTGGAAGATGCGGATGTGGTCCATGAAGGCGACCACTCGGTCGGCCGCCATGGGGGACGCGTGCAGACCCGCGGCGGCCAGTAAGGGGGCCACGTGGAGGGGCATGGAGCACTGAGAGGCGTTTAACACGAACAGTTCCGACCAGACGAGCCTCAGTAAGGCGACTTGGTCCGTAACTTGCAGTTCGGGGAAGAAGGGGATGTTTCTCGCCCATTCGACGGCGGAGAAAAGCAGTCTGGCAGCGAGCTCGCAGATGTTGTCTATGCCCATGACGTTCGTTGGTTGGACGCATGGACTGTATCTCGAGGCGGGGTAGGGCTCCGCCCGCAGTAGCAGCGATATGTACGACGAGAGATATGGATGATTGTTGAGTCCGGCGCCGGGGTCACCGTTGCCTAGGGTGAACTGGCCAGGGAGTCCCAGGCCGGGCTGCTGCGATGGAGGCACTCGACCTCTTTGGACAGCTGAAACAAAACAAATATGGCGTTCAATATTCATTCATATTGTTACAAAAATAAATGGCGTCCGAGAAAAATGTCGGGTTTATAATATTTTCTTTGGTTTTTGCAAGTCGTGGATATAATTGTAAGTAAGAAACTCGCGTCTTTTTATTATTAAATTATTATTTACGATTATTTTTCGTACAACACTGTACAGTTTTCGTGATCACGAACTTCGAAGATATCATTCGTCGTTATTTGAAGTTATCACATAGCTAGAACAATTATTCGAAAAGTCAGTAATAATATCAAAGGGAAGAAAGGATATTTGGTTTAAGCGACATTTATCTTTGTAATAAAAAGTCCGTTTTATTTGGTATCAACATTAACAGTTCGATGTTTTTAATTGAACTTCAATTATATTTACTTCATTTAAATAGCCGAAGAAGGTTTTTGGTTATAATAATATTTTTTTGCAATTTTAAATTTTAAATGGCTATCCTTTCACTCCTCGCTCGATATGATGACAAGCTAAAACGCGAGTTAAATCGTAAGAGTTGCTTTAATAATATGAACTTAAATTTTAAGTGTTTTTTTTTGTAACAAATTTCGACACCATTCACTTAACTAACATGCGGACCCAAAAGAAGCTGTGATCATTACTCCGACGTGTAATTTCTATTAATGCGTTTTAAATTATTCTCTGTACGTTGTGACTTTTTAGATTGACCTCGTTCGATGTGAATTGTAGGTACATCGCGTTGTTGCTTTGGGTCTAATCTATAAAAACAAATATCAACGTTCTTTTAAATGTTTGTTTGTTTGTTTGTCCTTTATACGTCCTTAAATGATTTGCGACGAAACTTGGTACAGTTTTCGTTGACTCTTCCGAGAACGTATCTTTTATAGTACCTCCTATCAAAGTAAATATAAATATACTAGCTGACCCGGCAAACTTCGTAGTGCCTCAATCGATAAATAAAAGATCTAAACTTTTGTGTAAAATAAACTTAAAACAAACAAAAGGAATCAGTCCGACGGGGGAGAGAGAGAGAGAGAGAGAGAGAGTATTCTTTATTGTACACCAAAAAACAAATAAACAGTGCGATACATTAACAACAAAAAAGTACAATTGGCGGTCTTATCGCTAAGAGCGATCTCTTCCAGACAATCATCAGGTGGACAAGAATCATTTGGAAACGAACTACGCGCGGTGTACCATTCCAGTGAAATACATATGCATATATGTACACATACATATACACATACATATCTCCGTAAATAGATATACAATTAATACAAACATCAAGGACACATCAAAGGAAAAACAAAATTGTTATTTTTATTTAATTCCGAGCATTTTCATATTTATCTACCTTTTAAACCTTCTCTGGACTTCCTCAAATAATTCAAGACCAAAATTAGCCAAATCGGTCCAACCCTACTCGAGTTTTAGCGAGACTAACGAACAGCAATTCATTTTTATTTTTATATATATAGATTATACTTCAAACCTTAGAGCTTATATCTCAAGATGGGTGGCGCATTTACGTTGTACATGTCTATGGGCTCCAGTAACCACTTACACCAGGTGGGCTGTGAGCTCATCCACCCATCTAAGCAATAAAAAAGGAAAAACAAATGAAACAGTACAGTAATAATAAACTTTTTAAATAGGCAGTCTTGTGTCAAATATTTGTTTAATACTAGTGGTCCCGCAGTTATCGAAAATCGACTATAATTAATTGAAATTATAAGTTTGAACATTATTATGGTTTTATTGTAAAAGACTTTCTATAATAATACTTCTATAATCACAGATTTCGTTCAGATTACAACTATAGACAAATAATATTAACCTATTCTCAATTTGACCACAGACTTTATAACAAAAGTTTGACAGTAAAAGAATATATTTAAGTACGTGTGTTTATACATGGTAGTGTGTGTAACGTTTTTTTTTGTTGACCAAATGTATTATTTATTAATTCATAATTTAAAAAAAAATATTAGTATTATGCACTCCTTCTCTGTATTCTCTATACCTAAGTGTGGGAAAAATCATACCTACTCTTCCAGCCGCGCAATTTTCGTAAAAATGGGTACAAAGTTTTTGCTTCACGTATTTAATATATAGATTTTACGGCTCGCACCCATTTTCATCTAGATACGCGTCTTAACAGTCGTGCAGTGTCAACATTCTCATAAACAAAATACGATTTTATCTCAATTTGTTAAGCATTCGGCTGCGGGCAATAAATTTAGACGTACATAAATTTCCTACTGGTTTGTCGAAGTAATACTTCGTTATAGATAAAACTAACATGAATAAAATCATGAATTTATGTGCTTTTTAAGTCAAACGCTTCGTTATCGAAATTTAATAGAAACTATATGACAGCGAAACTAAACATTCGAGTTTCGTAATTGTTATTAGGCGATTAATACGTTGATTGACGATTGTTTATGTACCTTATTTTAAATGCAATTATCAAGATATTTTCGGTAGGAACAGATAGCCACAAGTCAACGACCCCTTCACAAAACAACGTAATCTTTAGCCTAAAAACTAGTGCCGCTCAGAAACGGGCTGCAAAGATCGTGAGGCCACAAATCATCGATACAATCCGACACGAATCGACTTGAAACGCGGAATCGCGTGTAATCGACGTACTAACGCCGCGACCGACAAGCATCTCCGACTCGCCAAGTATTTTGAGCGCGCGTTTTTTTAGCGGGAAAAACGTAGCATGCTCTGTGGTCGCGGTCCGGCGCGAATGGCGACGCACGCGCGCCCTGTCTTTTTACACCGAAAAAAGGAATAAATCAGTAAACAGGTTGTATTATTGCTTTTTTTCTTCTTCGTACAAGTGCACTGGATTCCGACGAGTTATTTATTTCTCACGAGTGCTAAACTGTTTACAGGTTTTTTTTTTTTTAATTTTTTTTTCCGTACTTGACTTTGATGCTTTATCGCGAAACGAAAACTCTAACAAAAAAACTTCATTTCGTAAATGTTTAAATGAAGTTTTATTTTATTTAATGAACTGGGCTGTTCGTAGTTTTAAGTGTCCTTAAGAAGATCTTCTATGATCAACATCTACTTACTTTTCTGTAAAATATTTAACGATTACTAACCTTGTGAACAGTTAGGAAAACGAACCGGAATTATTCGGTTCGTATTAATGTAATTGTACGCATTATTAGCCGGGGCGAGAGCAATGTGGGCCAGGCCGGCTCCCACGCCGTCGACACCTAGTCTAATAGCCGAGTCATTACGATATCTCGATAGGTACATCTCGGCGATGCTCGTACATCACTATCTTGTAAATCGATAATCGTTGCGTTCTAACAAAGCGATTGTTTGGACGCGTTCAGTTTTGAAGGACAGGTTTTATTGTGTTAATATATTTTTAAAGTACTTTAATGTTTTGTAACACATCTAATAATAGTGACTTAGATGTGTATGGTAATTTTTGATTTACTTTATTATTTGGTCGAACCAAAAAAGGTATTTATGCGAAAAACAAAATTTTAGTTATATAATTAGTTTTCAGGAAGAAATGTCAAAGTACGTAGATGGTGGTGGTACGATATAAATTTCCGTCATGAGATCACTTTGTATCAGTCGCAATCCTGATTGTTCAGAGGTTTTCCATAATCGGCGCCGATATCTTTAGTACCTGCCCAGACCTTCTGAACTGTACCCATGATTCAATATGAATATTAATGATAATTAAATTTAATGCGACAAATATATCGCGTCACACTAGAGCCATTAGAAGCGACATAAAAGTAACGTTAATTCTTAACGTTATTGTGTACATAATTATGTAGCTTAAAAGGTTTGTGTTAGCCGCATAACTTAGAGAATCAAATAAAAATCGCTGCTAGCTTTTTGGTCTGTCATTTTAAATCGATTTATTTTTAAAAGGTTTTTTAGTGGAATTTGACCGATACAATGTTTTTGAAATGTTTATGTCACTGTTTCTGAGTGTTAGTAGCCAGGCATTAGTTTTGCTTTCAATCCCAATCAATGTATGATCTTGATTTGAACCAGTAAACCTGTCATACTAGGCCATTATAACATATTATTAAGGTTCTCAAGGTTTTTTTCTCTTTTATGGCATTTTTGATATCCATTTAAGTACTAATCTGAATTTTACTGGACTATTTTCTAACTCAAGCATGAATATTGAGTGATATTCGTGGAATTTAAGCTATAATAAGCGTAAGGCATAATAATTTTTTAATCATAACTGAATTTAGCTAGAATGAGGCAATTCAAATATATCCTCTTAATAATTATAATTGCTATGAGAGCCCTGGACACTTTTCAATATGTCTTACAATCATTCACTGCGTATGGTGATTTTTAAAGGAAAACTCCTGGGTTACAAAACTTAGGTAAATCTTAGGTTTCAAAAGTCGGAGATGGCAACCCTAGGCCACGTCCTCTTAAGATTCTTTTGCGCTAGTTATTGTAAAGGGAAAAATATAGTTACCTAATATCGAATAGTATTCAAAACATACGGGAATCAGACCACGTCCGCCCTATTTACGTGAACGCAACAAAAACGAGGCTTTAATTCATTTTCACGATGTTACGATTCGGATCACGTTCAAATAAAACTCACTCAAAACTGACCTTTATTGCTTCCCCGCAGAAGGATCAGTCGAGTGCAAAAATTAAAGTATCATTTAACTTTGCTCTTGACACAGTTCATTCGACGGAAACTATATGTCATTAAATAAATAGTACAGTCAGCGTCAAAACTGTTTAAAAATTACGTCTCAAGTATGAAATAATGCTAGTGGTCCCGCAGTAGTCGAAATTAGACTATAATTAATTGAAATTGTAAGTTTGTACACTATTTTTATTCTATTTTCAAACACTATTATACTTCTATAATCACAAATTTCGCCAAGAATACACTATAGAAAAATATTAATAAAGACAAACAATATTTAATCAATATTTAATCTATTCTCAATTTGACCACAGACGTCAAGAACAAAAGTTT